TGTGTCTCTGGCTGTCTGATTTACTGAGAGGTCTGATTTACTGATAGGTTGAGATCGAGTTTCTCATTGAAATTATATTAGGACTTTGGTAGATGGCTAGTCACAACATGAAAATATCTTATTAGTGTTTGGGTTGCCCAAGGAAGTTGTGAATGCTTCAGCCCTGGCAGTGTTCAAGGCCAGGTCGGACAGAGCCTTGGGCAACATGGTTTAGGGCGAGGTGTCCCTGCTCATGGCAGAGGGGTTGGAACTAGATGGATCTTAAGGTCCTTTCCAACCCAAACCATTCTATGATTCTAGGATTCTACTGGTGCCATACAAGGAACAAAGAAACTACACAAGCAAAACAAGAAATGGGAAATGCCCCTCTGTAGTTATTAGCTTTTATTTAATACCTTAAACGCAGAAACAACTTGTTACTAATGCACGTGATGGGGGGTGAAGGGGATGGGACAATGACCAGCTGCATGTAGGGGAATGCAGACTGACTTTGTCAGACACCGTTACAGATGTTTCAAATATAATCTACTGTACAATACAAAAAACTAATGTCAGGCTTTATATTGTATAGAAGGAGTATATCCTCAGTTATGACCACCAAGAACTGAATGGTTCATTCATGTGAAAACTCTCCTGCAGCTTAAGTCACTGAAGTTTTGCTTGGTAGTGCCTCCATATATATGCATTTATGGACATTATAAATGGTCCATTTGACTTCTAAAATCAGGTGCTTCTCAATGCCTTGTCACTTATTTCATAGAACATTGTTCTACTGCATTAATTACTTACATCCAAGGAATATAAATAGAGACAGAATGTCTCTGCAAGAATGATTTACATCAGTAAGCAAAAGAGTAAGAACTGTGAAAAAATCCTGAATTCTAATGTTTAAAGGGAATCATCACAAGAACTTAATATTGTTAACAAGTTTGGTTTGAATCTTAAATAATAAAAAGTAAAATGTGAAAACACTATTTTGTGGGACAACACCAACATCTCCGTGGTCTGTCTGGGTTGAGTTCCAGGTATCTTGACTCCCTGTCAGATTTAGAAGTTTAGGCATCTTTAGGCTATACTGCAAGCAATGTTTAAAGATATATGCATGTTTTCACAGCACAGATGTTAGTGAATAGATGAACAGCCAAGAACTAAATGATTCAGTAGGTTAGTTATGCTTTAAAATTCGTAATAACATTGTGCCAGGGTTGCCAAATTCCAGCAGCTCACTTCAGTTTAGCAGTCAAGATCCTATATAACACTTGTGCTGAGGAACTATTAGAGGGTCTGGGCACCCCTTGGAAGCTACCCTATGAAACGGTTTTATAGAAGACCTTCTAGCTTCAATAAACTCAAACATCTCATCAAGTAAATTGAATGAAAGGTTTTGATTTCCTGAAGCAATGCTTTCTCATTTTAGCCTTAATTCAGCTTGCCTTGTTAACATATGTGTGCATATTTTATGTTTTTTGGGGCTTGTAGCATACTTGACATGCAAAATATATCCTAGAGCAGAAGAGAGGGTTTGGGATTTTGTTTTTTTATAAGGCAATTTAAATAGATCTAAACCAATTTTGTGGGCTCTATTCTTAGACTGAGTATCTTGGTTTGCTTTAGCACCAGTTAATTCCTTCATTGAATTTACATATCAGCAGACCTGTTCTGTAGCTGTACTTTTATTGATTGACTTCACATAGATTCTCTTGCCACTGAGAATGTATAACCAGGAAGCTGTGAAAGATAATGATGTGTAAATATTAAAAATATAAGACTTCTGCACTGGAACCAAAGCAGTAAAGCTTACTGGTGGCTTTAGTTATTTTTACCACAATAGATTACATTTTAGAATTTTGTGAGAAGCTTTTCAGGAGAGTTGGTATTTGTCTTGCTGGGGAGAACTGGTTTAACAAATCAGCACACATTGTACAAAGTATGCTGGAATAGCCTTTTTAATTTTGGATTCAGTTTGATGCTCCTTGATATTTCTTTGAACAAGCTCTTGAACTCAAAGTTGACTTAAAAATTAAAACATTTCAAGATAATCTTAGTTTTGGAGCTAAGATGTGAGACATTTGAGAAAAGAGCTCATTTATTTTGCCTAGCCAACAGCGATAATGGGATTTTTCTGGGATTTCTACAGCAGCAAAGCAGAAGCAAACTTGAAACAAGATTCTGTATGTAACAACTGCTTGTTATATTAGGAAATTATCAACCTGACTCTTTCTTTAAAGACTGCAATGTTTGTTTTTTCTTATTGTTTACTTTTGACAGTTGGCAAAAGAAACAGTATGTAATATGCTCAATTAATTTTTTGTGTCTGTTTTATTTCAGAAAAGTAAACAAGTGCTACAGGGGTCGCTCTTGTCCAGTAGTTGTTCATTGCAGGCAAGTACAATTTCTAAAATAGCTTTAGAGAGATGTCTATGTGTAAGAATTTGATATAGATATAAACAATATGGGCAAATTAAAGCTTTAGATGAATGGCTAGTGAGGTAGGCTGAAGGTATTACATGTAATTCAACTGGGTTTTAATGCTAATTAAGACTTGGGATCTGTTTTCATAATAAAATAATCCTTTCCTGTAATTTCATAGATCTTGTGCCATGACTTGTTAATGTATGGCCACCCTTTCCAACATAAGTAACGCTTCAATTTCATAAATCTCCTTCAAAATGATAGTGATTGCTTGCATTCCCTCCCAGTTTAGTCTATTTTATTAACATTCAATTATGGTTTATTTCTTCTTTGCTTGCTTTTAGTCATCATGGTAAGAGGAGAGCAATGTCAGTTAGTGGAAACCTACTCAGAGATTGAGTAATCCTTTAAGCATAGTTTATCTTTAGGCCTGACAGTCTGATAGATGCACAGGAAAGCTATCAGGCAAGTCAATGGAAGACTTTATCATAATAATGTTAATGTTTGATTTTGCCATTTGAGGTTCTAAGGAGAATGTTGCACTTATTTATTGATTATATTCTTGTAGATAAGGATAGAAAACCAGCCCTGCTAAGAGGCACGTTGTTTGACTTGCAGCGCTCCACTTTGGGTGGGAGTGAGGAGGGAAAGGATATGTTTCTCAAGTGTGGCTCAGCAGGGGCACCTTCCACTGGTTGCGAGGAGGCCCTCTGCAGAGGTGAATGCTCTGAGAGAGGCTTGTCTGCATTACCCTCAGGAAGCCTGAGAAAAGAAACATTTGATGCAGAATGAAGAGCCTCCAGGTTTCTTCCTCTTTCCTTACTGTGATGGATGGAAATGTCTACTATCGGCTCAGTAGTTTTTGTTTTTATTGGGCCTGATCGCTGCCTTGTCTCTCATTATTCAGCTTAACTAATAAGATTGTGTCTTTGTTCCCTTCGTAGACATAGAAAAAAAATTATTAGCATTACCTCCTTTTCTCTAAGCAGTGATCTAGTAACTGAAAGACAAAAACCTCTGTCTACAGAGACTTAACAAAAATTACGTTTCAGAGCCTGCCTGTAAACAGAATGTGATAACGCGCTTCACGCTGTTCTATTATTTTTCCTTTCATTAATTCTTGTACACAAATTGAGCTATCAATAAAAATAATGGCTTAATTAATAAAACTACATACCAGTCTAATTGGTCACACATGCACCTTTGTAAAAATTTTGGGGAGAGAAAGAAAAAGAGCTTTTACTTAAAGTCTTAATTATGTTTGCTAACAGCAGCTCTAAAAGAGCATCACGCTGGCAATTACACGTTGCTCCCTGAAAGGGACACAACCTGCATTCAGATGAGGAAGCTTCCCCCCTCCCAAGGATTGGTCTCACGTCTCTGAGGAAGGGCTGATGATACAAGCAAAAGTTAAAGCTGTTTCTTAGTAATTACACAATATTTTTTCTGGTTTTGCAAGTGGGGAAGAATTAAAGGGAAAGGCAAAAAGAAAAACCAAACCTCTTGTGATGTGTAGGGAAAAAAAAAAAAGAATACAGTCCCTCAGTAATCAAATGTTTTGGTTCTTGAGCAGGTCTTTATATGCATTCCCTCTGACCACTGTGTTCAAATGCAGTCAGTGACATTTTGGGACATTCTGGATAATGTTCTCGTCTAGCTTATTCTGTGGCTGTTGATCACATATACAAGTGACTATAAGCTCATTATATGTACACTTTTTGGGCAGAAATGGTATCCTGTTTTAGGGTTAGTGACTTTTCCACTATTTAAAACGCTTTTCTTGCAAAAGCACAACTTGGTTAAAAAAAAATCAAAACAGAGCCCTGTTACTTGTGCAGACTAATAGTTAATCTTCCACAATCAGCTTGTGTTAATTCGTTGTAACGTTTCTCTCCTCTCTCAGTATCCTACTTTAGCCCCTTGTTCTCTCCTCTTCCCCTATGAGTTAACAGTATAACACTGAGGGCAGGTACCTTCATGTTGAGTCTAGATGCACATTGATAGGCTTTATTTTTTCTTTTTCCCTTTCTGTTGGCAGTGATGGTGCGGGAAGAAGTGGAACCTACATTCTAATTGACATGGTTCTCAATAAAATGGCCAAAGGTGAGAATCGAAAGGCTCGTTACTTCCTCAGTACTGAAAGATGTGCTTGTGTTGCCATGACAACGCAGGGAGCAATATTCACAGAAAATCTGAGAATAAATTAGAAGGAAATTGTACTCTTTCTTGAGCGTTCTTAAGTTTTATTTTCATAGCAATTTCAAACAACAAACCCAAATGCAAATGCTTTGTGAATGAGCAGGTGTTTTTCTGTTGTTGAGAAGTACTTGAATTTTTAAACTTTTTTTTAAATTTAAAATAGTTATTACAGGTTTTAGAAGAAGATACCTTGGGGCTGTAGAATCCTTATTTAGTGGGTGTGTGAGTTAGGTCCAGGGCAGCTTCAGTGTTGCCCAGTCCTCTGTCACCTACCCAGCCACGATGGTCTAACATGATTTCTTTTTGTAGTTGCCCATTGCCTAGGAGAGATGGTACCAGACAGGGCCTCATGTGCTGTGCAGATTTGTCTCTTAGGAGGAAAAAGACTGTAGTGAACAGCACAGAGGACTGAAAATAAATCATCTAATGCTCTATAACCAGTGCTGCCACTGTCCAGTACTGAATAATTTCCGAAACATTTCTGTTCCTTAGTTTCCTTATCTGTAAAATGTAATTTTATGAAGCAGAAAATCATGTGTCAACTGTTTGTTGTGTACATAGTGTTGTTTCTTTAAAATGAAGGCTGTAATTCTCCAGAGACTGGGGCCATTTCTTTACTTTTTATTGATTGGTAAATGGTTCATGGTGGGAAGTACTTGGGATATCCTGAAATAATCTTTTTATGTTAGAACTAAACCAAATTTATAATACTGATGCTGTCTTCAAAAGAAGGAGGCTAAAAGTGGGCATGTAGTCCTGATCATAGGTTAAAAGACATAACAGTCAACTTTATTCATGTATTGTACCCCGTCTTCATTCCTTTGACCATGTTTGTATCACAGTGTCATAGAACTGCATCTTAAGCAGAAGAGAAATCCTGAGGTTGAAAATAAACAAAAAATTGTAATTTTCCTTTTTTACTTCTTAACCTGAGTTCTTGAGATACCTCGATCTGGCATTATGCAGATATGTGTATTTAAAGGAAAAGTATCGATTGTAAAAATGTATATTAATTTATAGAGAGAAACGGTATTTACTTCTTCGAGTTCTAGTCACTTTACAGTTGTTTACAATCTTCTAGCATAGACATATTTTTATATGTAGTTTAAAAATACACTCCATGCTTTGTGGTCATCTACTATTGCATCCTGCATATCCCAGTCCTGTGGGACATAGTGGCATCCTGTCCCTTTAGAAAGAAGAGTTTAGTATTTTCTTTCTCTTCAGATTCTGTTGACATGTCTCATCAAACGTGGACTGAATTTTCTGCCTGTGAGCATCATGTGGAACCAGCTGCTGATCTTAAGAGAAGTTGTGTGTTTGCCTTCTCCTTAGCACTGTCCTGAAAATACGTTTTTCAGTGGGACGAGATTAGTTTTTCATGCTTGTTGGAAAACAGGTTTTCGCTCTGTGAAGGAATATGGACATATTTCCAGTGCTTGTTACCTGCCACGCGACAACCCAGTCTTTAAAAATAGAAGCAATGGTACGTCGTAAAATTAATGTAGACTTTTGTTAGGTATTTGTTCGGCTCATTTCAGTCATCAGCTGTAGTGAAAACTAGATTTAAAGTATATGCAACTTACTCGCCTAAAGAAGTAAATGAGAAGTATTTTCTAGCTTGGGGCTTTCAGCCACTTAAGGGAGGGTTGACTTTGTTGTAAAAGCACTGAAGAATGCCATTTATTGACTCCATTGTACCATGTAATGTCAAATTCCATTTTAAGTGTGGGCTTAGCGCTTCACAATACCAGACAAGTCATGTGAAACTGGCCAGAGAAAGGCGTCACAGGGCTTTTTGGAGATCGGTCACCCCCATTTTGTTCTTGACCTGCTCCCCTCTGCCCGTGGGGGTGTGCGATGCGAAATCCCCTGACCTGGTGCTTTGGCTGGGGTTTAAATGAAAGATCAAAGGGCAGAGCGGGCATCTCAGCCCTGCTGAGGTGGGCCTTTCCCAGGCTGTCACACTGTGCGGCCGCCAAAGGTTTTGTTCGGGCGGGAACCGAGGCCCAGCCTGTGCGGCCGGGGCCCTCTTTGTCTGGCCTGAGAAGCTGGAGGCCCAGGTTGAGGATCCAATGTTCATCAAATGATCAAAGGCCTGAAGCCCTGGACATGAAATCTTTCTTTCCATTTCCTTTTCTTAGAGAATGAATTGCACAAGTGGCAAAGAATGCCCTTTCCAAAGCTTTTATGTGGAGTGCGAGGGCTAACTTCAGAGTCCTTCAGCGCTAAACATAAAAATGTAAGTGCACTTTCAATCTGGGCCCAGCTGCAAGGCCAGCATCTAGTAACATTTCTTTCAAAAAGGCTTTTAAGGATTAAGGCCTTCAGTCTTTCAAAAAAAAAAAAAAAAAGCCACCAAAAAAAAAAAAAAAAAGCCACCAAAAAAACCCGGACTTTTAAGAATAAACTTAGAATAATTTGAGTTTCTTGTTCCACTGTCTGGTTTATTAGAAAGTAGACAATAATGCATTTTTAAATCAAAGTAAATAGAGGAGTACTTAGTTTCAGCAGTGGGAAAGTAGAAAGCAATCAATAAATGCCTTGGCTCTTTAGTGAGGTTTTTAATAGGGTAGGACGAGAAAAAGAGCTCCTTTTTCATGTAATGATTTACTTCCCTGCATTCTCTTAGACAGTTAACTGTAAATGCTTTTGTCATTTACAATTTCTTCTCCTACTGCTCACTGAATTAGTGCTAATACTTAGTCTATTAAACATGTTATAAATTCATATCTTCTACTGTCTTGCCTGTTGCTATCCCTCCTGTTAGTTTAGATGCTGAAAACCACCAGCAAGGGACCTCTTCCTGAAGCATAAAGCAGGGGAAAAGAAATCCAGCTGGGGGGGGAGGTTTGTGCTTGACACCTGCAACATCAGTGTGATAGCCTCAACCCCTTTGAGAAAGCAGTACCGAGTTTTTAAAAAGGCAAAGCACCCTATCTCAGTGCACTTGCAGACAGTAGAATGGGTACTGCGGGTAGAAATTCCCCCTTGGGGTACCTGGGGGGGTTGAGCTGGTGGGAAGATGCACAACAACTCACATGGAGCTCGCAGGAGCTCTTGCTCAGCAAACGCCTTTCTGGCCCCCAGCTGCCCTTGAGAGCCACACAGCGCCAGCCTGTGGGACTCCCTCTGGCTCTGCAGGGCATCAGGAAGGATCTCCTGTTGGGTTGGACTTCTAATACATTTCACTGTCCTCTGTGCAGTAAGTGTAATGGCTGCATCTATGCATTCACTCCAAACAGCCACATTAAATAATCTTCTTAGATAAAGGAACACTCAAAGAACCAGTGTCTGTTCTCAACTGTCATTCAGTGCTATCATACCTGTGTCCTGTCAGCAGAAAGTTTTAAATGCAAGTGTATCCTTTTGTTTAGTTGTTCCAGTAACTTAGTGCTGCTGTTTATCATGTAGTTTATTACTATGATTGTTTCTCTTGCTAGATTCATATGGAGAGCAGTTAAAAGACCCTGATCCTATACCTATCAAAGTAATACCAAAAGCTAAGTGGTATTGAATCTGGCCTTACAATAACAGGCTTAAGCACCATTATTTGATGTGTTTTAACTATGACAGCTATTTAACTACGATACTATTTTTACACGGGTATTACAATTTTAAGACAGTTACCAAGTCACCTTTCATTTCCCTCATAGACAGCTTAAGACAAGTTCGGTTTTGAGAGAGAAGTTAAGAAGTGATTTATTTCAACTTCATGTGCACTTCCATGATTTAAATAAATGCAGCAAATTACAATGGATTGTTTTTGTGGATAACAATGCTTGCTGAATTTTTGACAGAAACTGTTTTTCTGAGGCTGATTTCTACTGAGAATTTCAATGTTCTTGATGTTTAATTCTTTGTAACTAAGGAAGATAAACTGATTTAGTTCTACTTGATATTCCTTCCTTCCTCACCCCAAACTCAGGATAACTCTGAGCTGATCAAGGTTTTTCTTTTTGTGTGATCTAGAGGAAAGTTGAGAATCTTCTCATTTCCTGCAGGCTTATTGTAGTGACTAAAAATTTGATATATTGCAAGACATTTTTATTGAATGTTTTTGGCATGAAAAAGAAAAAAAATGAGATTATGAGTCTTCCTACTTTCATTTTTCTGAACTGAGAGGCTTGGATAGTGTCGATAATAGTTTGATTTTTAGATATTAATCCAGCCAGCAGCTGCTTAGGGTTTGCTGACCATCTATTTTCCTGTGTTTGAACTAGCTGGAATGAGATGAGTCAAAGGAAAGGCGAATATGAATTTTAAAGTCCTTTTAAAGTATTGCTTTCCGAATTCAAAAACCCAGCAAAAAGATTTGATTTACCAAAGCCAAACCAGCAGTTTATTCTCTCACATTCAAAAGCTCGGATTATAATTGACGAGCGCACACACTCTGGCCTGGGCTGGCTGCGGAGGTTATCTCCCCAAGTCCTTTCCTTGCCCCCACTACCCTATTGTCTGAGGGTCTTGTGAGTCAGCCTCTGAGCAGATGCAGTTTATACCATGACATTTTAAGGCAAAACAAAAGATTCCTTAATTCGCCCTCTGACTCATCGTGATCAAATGATTTTGGCTAATCTGAACCCTTGCTGAGGTTTTGCTTATCTGCTGTGTGGATTTAACAATCATAATGAAGTTGTGGGGTTAGCTCATCTCTGAAAGGATTTTATGAAAGAAAATGCTTGCCCATATTCATGTTAAAATGGATTCAATCTGCTTATTTTTGAGTCCTTATGCAAAGTCTGAGAAGATTCTGTTGTTCAGTTGTGCTGATACAAGTCCAGAGCAGACTATTTCTGACATGCTGTTGGGGAATAAGGGAATATTTTTTCAGCCCAGGATCCAGCTTCTCCCATGAAAATAAAACTTAACATACTACATGTCATACAGTGGTTGGGAGAATA